CAACGCAAAGGGTCAGACAAACTCTCCATCTACTGCTGCACTCACTCTCTTTGCTGCTGCTGCTGCTGCTGCTGTTGCTGCTTCTGCTGCTCTTGTTCTTGTTGCTGCTGCTGATAACTGCGGCTATCTCCCCCCGTATCTGCTGCTGCTACCTGCTGCTGCTACCTGCTGCTGCTGTCTGCTGCTGCTGTCTGCTGCTGCTGTCTGCTGCTGCTGTCTGCTGCTGCTGCCTGCTGCTGCTATCAGCTGCTGCTGCTGTGCTGGGGTGTACGTACAGTGCGGGAGCTGCGCGAGGAAATTCAGCTGCTGCTGGAGCCTGGCTCTTATGTAGGAGAGGTCGTGAAGGTCATGGGGAGAGACAAAGTACTCGTTAAGGTGAGAAACACAACATACAACACAGCTTTCTCCTTTCTTTTTTTCTTTTTCTTTCTTTGTTTTTCTTTCTTTGTTTTTCTTTCTTTCTCCTTCTTTATTTCTCCTTTTCTTTGTTTCTTTCTTTTTCTCTTTTTCTCTTTCTCTCTCTTTCTTTTTCTTTCTCTTTCATTCTCTTTCTTTCTCTTTCTTTCTCTTTCTTTCTCTTTCTTTCTTCCTTCTCTCTTCTTTCTTTCTTCTGTCTTTCTTTCTTTCTTTCTCTTTCTTTCTCTATTCCTTTCTTTGTTTTGTCGCTTCTGTACTCCTGCATGCACTCTCTTTCTCTCCGTCGCTTTCTCCGAAATTCTCTCTCTTGTCTCTCTAACTCTGTCTGTATAATATACATATATCCACATATAAACAAACAAACAAACAAACAAACAAACAAACAAACAAACAAACAAACAAATAATATATATATATATATATATATATATGCAGGTAACGCCTGAGGGAAAGTACGTGGTGGACGTCTCGAAATCAGTGGATATATCATTATGTCGTCCGAGTGTACGTGTGGGTTTACTGAATGATTCTTATCGTTTACATTGTGTATTACCATCAAAGATAGATCCATTAGTTTCACTTATGAAAGTAGAAAAAGTACCCGATAGTACATATGATATGGTTGGGGGTCTAGACACCCAAATTAAAGAAGTTAAAGAAGTTATTGAACTTCCTATTAAACATCCTGAACTCTTCGAATC